GCCAAGCCAAATCTACCCAGTTAAAAACCCAGCTGTCTTTGGGAGCAACTGTAAGAAAACAGGCTCCATGTCAGGCAGACAAAGCCTCCAGCTGCCAGCATTGGGCAGCAGTCTGGCACTGTACCAGAGGCAAGCATCAAATCCGCAGCGCTAACGCGTGGCTGGGCCTCGCCGTGCCCCCATACCTCTGCAAACCTACAGGACTCACTGCTGCCTCTCTCATTTTCAGTTGTCAGACTGGGTTATGGCGAGTCTGCCAAAACGGCAGCTGGCAGACACTCAACTGCAGCCATGCTCAGAACCACCAGTAGAGAGCACCACCTCACTCAGGAGTCCCTGTGTCGTGGAGCCTGAGACTCCATCTTGGCTATACCTCTAGGCTACTCCAAAAGCAGACGAAGGCTGGATAATCGACTGCTCATGCCATCTCACACATGTACCACCCCTTGTGGCAAACCTGAGATCACATCCAAATTTAGTGTTCCTGTTTAAATCCAACAATACTCAGTTTTCATAAAGGAGCCAATAAAGTCCCCGTGTAGAGAGAGAGAATGTCCTGCTGTACTGAACCCATCCTCATCAGCATGGCTATCATGGCTCCTTTATGGCATCAATCCACACCGGGCCGACCGGCTGGCGGTCACCTCCCCATTACATCAGAGGTGGGGGGGGGCCTGGGTGTCCCCCAGGGCTGTGTTCATTCAGAGGCGCGTCTCCGGGGCCTTGAAGGGAAGCCGTGCAGCACTGCGCTCCCGAAAGTGCTGCTAAATGTGGGCGTGTCTTTACCTGAATCTCAGCTCAACACAGTGAACACGAAGCACCCTTACAATCCCCATTTCAACACTAACCTGTCACAAGTTTAGTCTTTGGAGTGATTCCGTTTCGCTCAGGGAGGATATAACGCTGACACTCCCATCACACTAATGCTGCCGGTTATTTTTTATTTTTTTTTGCGCTAGTCTTTAGAGTCATTCCAGGGATGCGGCGATTGAACGGCCCTGAGCCTAACTGCTACGGAGCTCAAGAGTACATGGCAGACAGAGGCATCCAAGGAAGCAACGCCCTGCACGTCTTTTCGGCTGTGTTGAAGTTCCTTGATGATGAAATTCTTGCAGACTATACCGCTGGGATGGTGGAGCACTTGCCCATATTCTTTGCCCATATTCTGCTGCAATCCGTTCTGATGACATCGAGGGCATTCCTCTTTCCCAGCGGCAACGGTACAATAAGGTGGGAAAGTCACAATTTAATTACAAATAGTGATCTGGACACTCAAGTGATGCTGGGTGAGGGGTGGGGACAGGGAGGGATACTTTGGGATCCATGGCAACACCCTGGCAGGTCAGGACCTGCGTTCCACCGGCTGCAGCAGACAGACCTCGCTCCCTGCAGACAGGATGGGTAGGCGGTTGTCCATGTGGTAGCTGATTAGGTGACTTACACTCTCAAAACGGTGGTCTTTGGTGCGAACCTGGGAGAAAACAGGCAGACAGAGGAGAGAGAGGGAGAACATGAGGACAGAGAGAGAGAGAGATTGAGAGAGAGAACATGAGGAGAGATACCGTGAGGTTGAGGGAGAGAGGGAGTACACGGAGAGAGAGGGAGAGAGAAAGTGAGGATGGGGGAGAGAGGGAGAACATGAGGACAGAGAGAGGAGAGAAAAATAAAAGCAATGCCCGTGGAAGGGAACCATAAATCAGACAGCAAGAGGGATTGAGCCCAGCATTAACCTACATTATCTAATCAGGCTTCCAGCTAGTGGGTCGAAAATGGGCAGCTGGAAGCGATCTTATAAACATACCCTCCTGTTGCTAGTGGGCAGCAATGTGCCACATGGCGCCCGCCCCGCCGGAACGGGCCCTTACCACTCCCTCGGGGTCCACCAGCAGCAGGTGCTTGGGCTGCCCGCCCTGCTGGCCTGTCAGCACGTACTGTCCCGGCGTGGTTCCCGATTCCCGCACCAGAAAGTCGCCGTCCTTCGTCAGCAGCCGCTCAGCCTGCCTTCGGCTCAGGCTGCCATGGAACCAGGGCTCGGCCTGCAGCTGCTCGGCCATGGGGAGCGCCGCCCCCCCCACGGAGACGCCCAGCGCGTCGTCAAACGGCTCTGCAAAGTGCAGGGAGGAGCGTTACTGATGCCTGGGGCCCGGCACCATCAGGAAGCGCGGCGGCGGTGGCGAAGGGACACCCACTCATATCAAACGCATCTCGGTGGGCGTTGCCGTTAGCGGCAGAGGTGGGTGGGCGGGGCTTGTCCACATTAACGTAAGACGGGTCGTCGAACAGGTCACGGCCGCCCTCCTTTACCCCCGCTTAATGTTAGGGAGAGAGAGAGAGCAAAAGGGCTCCGTCAATTAAATGCTTGTGCAGGCCTTCGATTTCGGGGACAGTCAGGAGCAACAGAAGACGAACCTGGGAGAGGTGGCAGGGGCTGCTTGTGCACGTCATTCTGTCCTGCTTGACCGTATGGCTGCAGACATAAGCAAACGATCACTGAAGCACATACAGATACACTGAGCATACATAAGAGTGAGGCAGCGTGTGGCGGGAAGCAGGGCCCAGCCACCCCCCTGCCAGTCTCACCAGTGTAGCCCCCGGAGTGTGGCCTGCCCGGCTCCGCATGTCCACCAGGCCGCCCGGAGGGGGCTGTTTGCCAGGGAAGTTGTTGTAATAGGGAACCTCTGGGGGAGGCTGGCACTCGTCATCCTCCTCCTCCCACGCCGACCCATCGAACGGAGCCATCCTACACCACAGGGGAAAAGGCAGGCCTGCTCAGAGCTCTACCAACTGCGGCATGCGCGCACTGACACGTGCAATATGCAGCCATCCTATACCACGGGGGAAGAGGCAGGCCAGCTCAGAGCTCTATCAACTGGAGCACGCACTCCCGCACACATGCACTCACACGCACATACATGCTGCTCACCTGTCGTGGGGCGTCACAAGCTTCGGGGGGTTCTTCAGGTACTGCTTGAAGCGCAGCTCAAAGGCTTGACCAATAGTGCTGATGACTTCCTGAGCTAAGCCCTCGGAGCACTCCAGGATGTGACAGGCTGTAAGGGGGGGGAGAGGCTGAAGAAAGGAGCACCAACCACACAGCAACAGCTGGACACCATGACTGTGAGAGCAGAGCATGCTACAAGGGCAGAGCACTGTACCAGCCCGCTTGGATAAACTGTCGATGCTAGAGGAGGTGAAAGAACTGAACCCTGATTGGCGCGCGCATATTATATATTTATATATATTATTTATGGGGACCGTCCATTCATTTCTGTGGGGAAAACCATAATCCCAACAATGAAAACCCTTAACCCCTACGCAGCCCTAACCTTAACCATAAGAAACCAAACAAAATACAAGACTTGCCAAAATGGTCCCCACGGCCTCAAAACAACAGGCTTTTATCACATTGCAGGGACATCTGGTCCCCACAATGTAATAAGTACCTCTCACACACACACACACACACACACACACACACACACACACACTGCATATGTGTAACACATAATATTTACATCAAAACGTGCATCTCACCTCTCTGGTTGACGGGGTCTTTGGCTACATAAGCTACATACTCTGCTGTGTCCTGGGGAGATGGGCAGATAGGTGGGGGAAGGGTAGCGGTGTGGGACGGGGTAGAGAACAACCGCAGTTAGAGGGGCAAACTGCACATCTCTGACAGAAAGGGAAGAAAAGAGAATCAAGCTGCAGGAAGAGGAGACGGATCAGCAGGAAACAGAAGGCAAACGTTCATGGACAGACAGGAAGTGAGGCGTAGCATCGCAGACAAAGGCCGGAAGCAAATGGCAAGTGACACTGGCACGCCTGAGAGGGGAAAACGGAGAGAACCGGGAGAGGGGTGAGCGACTCACTGGGTCTCCTCCAGAAGCGAAAGAGATGGACTGCATGTGATGGTTGGCGATAATCTGTAGGGAGAGAGGGGGGGCGGACAGATACAAATGTGATGAACAGTTTTGCGGACAAGACAAATGGTGGGATGGGGAATCGAATGAGAGGGTATAAACTGGGGGGGGCAGGGTGAGAAAATTGAGAGAGATATCCCTTTAAGACATGCCTTTAAGAACACCATAAGGTAGATAATCAGTGTCACTGGCTAATTAGCTGACAGCGGATGTGCCGCGGGGCCTGACCTGCTTGCAGTCCATGGCCATCAGGTTGAGGCTGCTGGTGGAAACGGTGAGGCTGATTGTCATGCCGGCAAACTGCAGGTTGCTCTTCCCCAGGATGGAGGACAGGCACCTCGCCGCGGGCTGGGGGCAAGGAGCCAAAAATCCACCGGATCAGACACACACAGGCACAAGCTCACCCAGGAAGCGTGAGCTGGGGGAACCAAGAGCAGTACAGATGCAAGGATGCTAGACATGAAGCTTCTATGATGACACGCATAGACTCCTGTTCAGGATCATCTTACATCATCCATCCAGCTCCCATAACAGCTAATACAGTGCAGTACTGCGACGAGCATGGAGGCAGCAGAGAGCCCACAGGGTGAAAGACCCAGGACAGGAAGCCAGTCCATCACTGAGCACTAACTCACACTGTCATGCGCATGCACTCACTCACATGCAATTACACTCCCATTCATTCACAGGCACACTCCCATTGAAGAGCACACTCTCGTGCGCACTCCCATTGAAGAGCACACTCTCGTGCGCACTCCCATT